TGCAGTCGTTGGGTTCATCCTCCGGGGATCTTGTGTTGGTACTGTGTCACCAGTTTCCTCTTTGGGGTTTTCGTGGTTCCGTGCCTTGGCACCTCCCCGAGCCTTCGTTTGATGTGTTCACGGATGGGTCATCTCTCGGCTGGGGCTTTGTGACCAGTGCTCACCAGGTCGGCCGGGGATGGTGGGGTCTGTCCGTCTGTCGGGCTCACAGCACAGTTCGGGAGTTCGTGGCTGTCTGGTTTGTGCTTCAGAGGGTTCGGGTCACTCGGTGCTCTACCATCCAGCTCCATTCGGACTGTTCTCTGGCGGTTCTTTGCCGGAACCACAGGGTTTCTCTTAGGTGTTTGACCTTTGGGGTTGATCCCTTCAAGTTGCTCGTTTGCTGGATTCTCGGGGTTTGGCTAACTGTGAGGTTCATGTCCAGGGTGTGTCCTATGTCCTGGTGGACAGCCTGTCTCGGTTCATTCCTCTGTTCGCGAATTGGCCAATCGTTACCGACTCGTTTCGTTGGCTTTGCCGGACGTATGGACTCCTGACCATGGACATCTTCGCATCGGCGTGGTCTATATGTCGATCATTCTATGTGGCGCCCTTACCCGCCTGCGAGGCGTTCACGGTTGATGCCTTTCGGCAGGACTGGTCGAGGTGGGGGTACCCGTTCCTCTTCTCCTGGTCCAGCTCTTGCTTCGGGTTCTGGCTCGGTTGAAGTCCATTCCCAAGGAGAATAAGCCTCATGGTCCTTTGGTGGCCGGCCCAGCTTTATTTTCAGACACTGCTTGATAGGTGTCCGAACCCGGGGCGTTTTCCTGCGGCTCTGCCTCTTTTGGTAGGTCGGACGGGTCCTGTACGTGACTTGTTCGGCCTTCTCGGCTTTTCGCGTCTGGTATTTTGACGCGGGGTATCACCATCTCTATGGTGATCAGGTGGCTTCGTTGATGGTGTCCCACCTGCGAGCTTCGTCTCGGCGACAGTATGATGTTCCTGGTGTTTCTATGCACCCTTTTCTTGCTCTTCGTAGGTTGTCTTCTCTTTCGCATCAGGTTGTCTTATCCTTTCTTGGGTTTTCAGGACTACAGTTATTTGATGTTTCTTACTGTCGCCTCGTTTTGTGCAGCGCTGGCGGAGCCGCTCCGGCTCCGGCGTTCGGGGTGGACGTCACATCTACCTCATTCCGTATGCTTTCTCGTGTTTTGTTTCACCTCCGGACTGCTCATGCGTCGCCTGAGCCGTCCTGGTCCTTGATCAGGGTGCCCTCTTCTTCTCAGTTTGTGGTAGCCCCTTCGGTTCAAGTTTGGTTTTCATAGATCATATTTTGTTGCCATGGGCTTCTGTGGGTCGGGTTGGGGAGCTTCTGGCTCTTCCAGTGCAGAGGTTTCTGCTCTTTGGTACTGGTGGTAGGTTTGTACGTTTGCAGCCTTTCTCAGTCCTTCTGGCAATGGTCGAGACAGCTGCTTTCCGGAGGGGTCCTTGGATTATTGAGGCTTGATTGGTTCGGCCGAGGGTGCATCCTGTGTTGTCCAGTTGCGTTTTTTTGCGCTTACCTGCGTACCGTGTCTGGGGATGCGCTTTGGGTTGATCCGGTTCCCCTCGTTCCCTGTTTTAGGGCTCTGGTCTCTCAGGTCGTCCGCAGAGATTTTAGGTCTTCCAGCCTACGGTCTATCCTTGCGCCCGTGCTGTTCAGACGTTTGCAGCTTTCGCTGCTGTGTTGTTGATGTCTAGGGTTCATTTTGGGCACGAGGATTTGAGGGTCGCACAGGTTCCTGGCTACCCGTTCTTTATGCACGCGTCTGCTCCTGTGCGTTTCTTGTTGCCTTGGGTCGCAGGTTGCAGCCTGTTGTCTCGCCTTCGCGTTGCGGAGTTTGTGGCGGCCGCCTCCTGGGTCAGCCCTTTCTTTCCCTTCTCTTTGGGTATGAAGCTCCAGGGAGCCGTTGGAGCTCCCCACAGAAAACCAGCGTTGAATGTAATAAAACGCCATTTGCTGGGTGAGCCCCGGAGGCTCCCTGGCAACTCTCCCTCCCACCAGTTGGCGTTTTTTTTGCGTTGGTTGAAGCTTAGCTTCCGAACTGATGCTAGGCAGCCGGCGCGGTGAGGTCCGGGGCTCCCCACTTCCCCTCTCGGGGCGTGGAGGGCTGCGTGGATGATTGGCGTGGCAGTAAAGTGTGATGTTTGCTTGTTTCCTTGGGATTGTAGGGAGTTTCTACCTCTGTTCGGTTTTTTGTTTTAGTTTTTTACCATGTGGGATTTGTTTTGTTATGTCTACGTTTCTGGGTGCCTAACCCCGGTCGATGGTAGATAAGGAAAACCCCAACCACAAGGGGGTTTTCCAGGGCCATTGCTCCCTGAAACCTCTCTGAAGGGGCCAGGTTCTGGCGCTGGTCCCTGGTAGGTCTGAACTCCTTAGCTAATATCCCAGTTTAACACTTTCGCGCTCTCGGCACTCAAAAAAAAAAATACCCCAGATGCTTTCGGCACTTCGCGCGCCTACGCGGTAAGACCGAAAAAGTGTACACTCTTTTGACTGTCCTGACAATAATTGAAGGCGCACGTATTTAAATTTGGTATCACTGTGTTCGCAATGAAATTGTCTATAAGAGCATACCTATAAAATGCCGCCCAAGCATAAGGAGTATCAACACCAAATAAAAAACTATGCAGATCACTCGCCGAGAGCGCCAAACAGCAACAAAATGTTTCCACTCTCTTAATGGTTGCGAAGCCTACAGTTGTCCTACATCACTAATTTTGGTATCATTGGAATCGCAATAAAATTCTCTACACGGACATATGCATATGAATGTTTAATATAGGTAATTGCCCACCCGCAAGAGTGTGTGAAGTGGAGAGTAGTTAGCCGCGAGCGCACTGGCGAAAACACAAGGGGGAAATCATGCTTGGAAAGTTTATACGTTTCCTGACCCTACTTTTCTATGTACGTATTTCTTTTTTTATACCAATGTGTTCGCAATAAAATTTTTTATAAGATGAACTGTATAACATTTGTACAAAGCATGTGTAAGAGAAGCGCCAAATATAGAACCACGTCGCTCAGTATGCGTTTGCGGCAGAAACGAACGCATTGTTTTCGTTCGTTTGATTTTGTCATGTTTATACTTGTTGAAACATTTTATAATTTGTATGACAGTGATCGCAGTAAAATTCCCTACACAGACATATACATAACATACAAATATTTCCCACGTGTTGGATATATCAACGGCTAAAGGGAACCCACTGCCACACGCTCGCCACACCCCCAAACATACTTTGTGTATTTTTTTTTTTTACTCATAGAAGTTTATGTGATATAATATTCATTCTGGTACCAAAACATTCGCAAATAAATTCTCTACAAAACAAAAGTATCTCCATCCATTTCGGTTAAAAAATGGAATTTATAGAAATATTTTTTCGATGGACGAGAAAAGTAGGCTGTTATGCGGAATCGTAAGAAAAAACGGCGACGAGTTATCTCTAATCTAAAGCGCGAAAGTGTTAATATAACATACATTAGCCCGATAAGCTTCAGGGAGCCTCCAGGGCTCACCCTGAAAATGGCGTTTCATTACATTCAACGCTGGTTTTTTGCAGCAATATTATTCAATAGTGTGTAGTGTGATATATTTATATAATAAAATGTGTGAACCATCACTATACCCAAAAGTATGGTGTGCATATACTGTTTGTGATTCAATTATTATGTTCATAAAACAATAAACAAATAGTTTTTCTGTTATTACACACTATACACACATTATATATACAAGTATCTGCATGTTTTGTTCACCATAGCAAACCACTAAGTTGGTAGGGTGCAACAAGAGTGGGCTGCCACACCTAGCCAACCCTCCCTCCGTCCTTCAACACCTTACTCACCAACATTCCTCCTCCCACAAAACTGTTTGTGGTTTTATTACACTATATACATACATTATATATAAGTATCTACATGTTTTGTTCACCATAACTGTACAACTAAGCTGATATGGTGTCCAAACAACAAAGTGGCCACAAAAAACTGCATAGCAAGTCACACACCAGGTAACAGATGACACCCTCACTCCCTCCCTCACCAACATCTTCACCAAAATGGCTACTCCCAACACATTTTTTTTGCTGTTATTACACTCTATACACACATTATATATAAGTATCTACATTTGTGTTCACCATAGTGAACCACTAAGCTGGTATGGTGAGTCAAGACAATAACTGGTTGCCACATACTGTCGGCAGACAACACCACCTCTCTCTCCCTCCTCACCAAGATTACTCCTCCCACCATACTACACATGTCGCTAATTCTCACCACAATCATGCCATTATTAGAATCCTGGTCACTAAACCCTGTAAATGAATAATTTTCCACAAGTTTATTTTGTAAAGGAACATGATAAGTCCTTTGAAGATTCTTAGATGGATGAAACAATGACAGTGTGCTATGGCTAGTGCTGTGAACATCTTGAACAGCATTGTGTTCACTGATATCTGAACATTGTACACAGTCTTTACCACATTCAGTCTCTTGTGTAATACTATCATGGCTAAATAATACCAGGTACATATATATTTTGAAATTTTTAGGCGATGTTGTGGTCACCAGCTAAACAACAGTGCTGTTAGTTCATGCTGCATGTGCCGGTCTTGTTTGCTCACTCAGTACCGAGACTCTTACACCCGGGAATTGCCCACAATTTTTTTTTTTTTAAATGGCGTCTGTTTACAAGAGCCCTGAGGAAGTTGATGTGTTCCCCGTGTAGCCACGGGACTTTTAAATCTTACGTGGTACTCTCAATCATTCATAGCTGTGGTGCGCCATCCCACAATAGTTACTCACCCCGGCTATGTATGTATTGCGCCCTTTAAGGGTTAAGTCAGTGCAGCGCAGTGGTTAAACATAAACTGTAAACAGTTAATCATATATATATGAGTATTATGCACATATATATATGAGTATTATGCACATATATTTATGAAACAATAGCACTATTCTTTTTTTTCAGGTGGCAGGAATTGTGGGAAACTTGATGCAAGTTGCTTTGAGCTTGTTGTTTTACCTGCAGGTGTATCTAGAGGATGATATTAGTCCAGGAGTGTTTTGGATTCTTGGAATCTTTTCTCCTTGTGCCTTTTCTTTTGCCCTTGATAAGGTAAATGTAACAATAATTATAATCAATAGCTTCTGCTCACATAATTGTGAATATATGAAAATTATTATTGTATTTATGCCATTCTTGTCCTAAAAAAGCATATACATAATGTTTACAAGTAATGAATATATATTTCTAAATGATCTGTTATTTTTAGGTGATCCTGTTTGACTACTCTTCTGGGGGCTTGGATTTCGATAAACTATGGATTGGACCAGGTCTACCCTTTGCTGGAAGTCTTATTATGATTTCCATTGACATATTCCTCTACCTCTTTTTGGCATATTATTTGGATAATGTTATCCCAAGTGAGTCATCAATTTATTGTTACTTATAACATGCATGCTAGATCAAGTTATTAATTTATCATCAATATTTCTAAAGGAGGGGGAGGGGGCCCTTTTGGCTCTCTGAAGCTATTATGCCATACTACTACTAGATGCCAACATTCACGGAATTAGTTTAGGCCTACTGTGGACCGTGAGACAGAATTTGCCCCCCCCCCTTCCTCTCTAGAGAAGTGCAGGGAGCATTGGCATGTATGTTACAATTTCTATGAACTTACTCGTGTCTTCCACCCACTAGGGAAGGCACCCAGAAACTCGGTGAGACAAAACAGGCCACTGCTGGTTAGAAGCGAGACTGCCGCCTCAAAATCGACAAAGTAACTCTCTCAACTAAGTAAACAGACAATCAAAAATTCACAAGACTAGTGCAGGCTTGTTTATCCCACCTCTTCCCCTTGTTTCAGGAGAGGAGGGAAGCAGCCCGGGTCAACCTGCTGATCCACCTTCTGCTCTTTGCTTTTTTTTTTTTTTTTTTGCAGGAATATTCCTACATGGGCCACTACTGATGGTACAGTACTGGTGTGTGTTGCTCATTCTGTTGCTCTGGCTCCAGTGTCTGGTTTTCAGATAAATGGTGTTTTGCCTTTGTGATTTCCTGTGCACATTTGAACAGCGTGAGCCAGGAGTTGAGTATTCTTGGAACTTCATGTTTACATGGCTATCTTCCATGTCTGCTCGCTAATGCTGGCCTTGCTCTCCCAGGGTTATCATCCGTGGAGTGTTCAGGGATTGTTTCCTTAGAGAGTTTCCTCATTTGTGATGGTCCTTACCCTAGATAAGTCGGTTGTCTTTGACATTCTGCCTTCCCTGGAAGTTGGGAATATTTGGCTGGCAGGGCACACTATGGTTCACATGACTAAGCCAGCACACCAAGGTTGATCTTCTCAGCCTCAAGATTGTGGTGTTTTGGCCTACTATTCTCTCCTCCCAAATATTTCTTGGATTAATTTTAGTGTTTTATTTTACCTTTATGAATATAAGGAGAGTCTGGATGGTGGGGAGAACTGGATGGATAAATGGCAGGGGGGGATCTCAATGGATGGTGGGGGGGAACTGGATGGATGGATGGTGGGGGGGAGGGAACTGGATGGATGGTGTGGGGAACTGGTTGGATATATGGTGGGGGGGAGAGTGGATGGATGGTGAGAGGGGGAACTGGATGGCTGAATGGTGGTGGAACTGGATGGATTGGGGTGGGACTGATTTGGTGGGGGAAACTGGATGGATTGGGGGGGGGGGACTGGTTGGTGGGGAAAACTGGATGGATGGATGGATAGGAAGGCTGATTGGATGGATGGTGGAGGGGACTGGATGGATGGATGGTGGGGAAACTGGATGGATGGATGGATAGGGAGGCTGATTGGATGAATGGTGAAGGGGACTAGATGGATGGATGGTGGGGGAACTGAATGGATGGCAGATGAGTGGGACGGGGAGGCTGGTGAGGGGTTGGGGGGGGGGAGGATGGGAAAGAAAATAATTCAGAAACACCAACCCTAGAATCATGTAAGGGAAGATGTGGAGGGTGAGTGGGTGGGCAGGTGAGAGTGAGTGGATGGATGAGTAGCATGGCGGGCGGCAAAGTGGGTGGATAGGCGGGCAGCAGTGGTCTGGCAGGAGTCAGTGTGTGCAGATGGATAGTAGTTAGACTGTTGGCAGAGTGGGCATAGTGGGTGGGCATGCAGGCAGCATACCGAGCAGGTGGCAGATGGTAAATTAACACTTTCACGCATCTGTTACGCTTGCATGTGTAACCAATTTTTCTCTCGAGTGCGCGTAAGGGACGCGCTCACAAGTCACAAGAAAAAATATTTGTATAAAATCCATTTTCTATTCGATCGACTTGGGGATAGTTTCAAAATGCGCGCCATGAAATTCCCATTCTCCCCAATAGGCCGCATGGCACCCCGGCCTATGCGATCACGTGGTTGGCCCATTGTTTTGTTGACACGAGGAGTGCTGCACCGCTCTCCCCTCGTGTACCAAACTTGATCGGTTTTACCCATTTATTTCCATTCCCATGTGTTTGTGACCCATTATATACATTTACCATGGATCCTGGTCAAGGCCCAAGCAGAGGTACACGTAAAGGAGCGAATACATCTGCCAAAGAAGACAAGATAAGTATGATTTACTTATGTAAATCCCCTTACTCCCCCTCAATGTTTTCCATCCCCTCCCCCTCAATGACCTCCATCCCTCCCTCACTGCCTTCCTCATAACATAAGAACAACAGGCAATGGAGGAAGGAGCTACTAACGGGGTCGAGGGAGCTACTATAACGGGGTCGAGGCTAGGCTACCCGGACATATCTGTCAGCGCCTGCTTGCAGATGCCAGCTGTGCATAATTCATAAATAAAACTATATTTGTTTAATTAATAAATAGGAAACTATAAAACATGTTAATGATTAATAATGTATAGTAATATACAAAAATGAACATTTTGGCATAAATATTTTTCAACTAAGATTAAAATTTTTAATGCAGTATGGGTGAGAGGTTTGGCACCATCGCCTGGTCAACAATTCTGCCCTCCGCCTGCCTTACCACCACCACTCTCCCTGCCTCCCTCAACACTACCACTCTCCCTGCCTCTCCTACCACCACCACCACTCTCCCTACCTCCCTCAACACCACCCTTCTCCCTACCTCGTTCAACACCACCCCTCTCCCTGCCTCTCCCCCTCAATGCCTCCCCCCATCAATCACTGTCTCCCATCCCTCCCTCAATGCCTTGGAGGTTGGTGGCCTGTTACCATGTGAGGGGCCGCCGATGCCAAGACAGACTCAACACCGACCTTCGGTAATATCAACCGCGAGACCGGTATATGAGGGTCCATATACCGGTCTCTCAAACCGGTCGTTATTACCGGCAGGTCAGTATAAAAGAGGCCGTTAAATTGAGTGGATACTGTAATTCCAAAAGCCTGGCGTGACTCCCCGCAGCAAAGCCTAAATTTACCTGTGAACAAGCACCAATTTGCACACCGCAGCTAATGTAATTACATAAGTGTAGTTACAGGATGAGAGCTACGCTCGTGGTGTCCCGTCTTCCCAGCACTCTTTGTCATATAATGCTTTGAAACTACTGACGGTCTTGGCCTCCACCACCTTCTCCCCTAACTTGTTCCAACTGTCTACCACTCTGTTTGCGAAAGTGAATTTTCTTATATTTCTTCGGCATCTGTGTTTAGCTAGTTTATATCTATGACCTCTTGTTCTTAAAGTTCCAGGTCTCAGGAAATCTTCCCTATCGATTTTATCAATTCCTGTTACTATTTTGTATGTAGTGATCATATCACCTCCTTTTCTGCTGTCTTCTAGTTTTGGCATATTTAATGCCTCTAACCTCTCCTCGTAGCTCTTGCCCTTCAGTTCTGGGAGCCACCTAGTAGCATGTCTTTGCACCTTTTCCAGTTTGTTGATGTGCTTCTTAAGATATGGGCACCACACAACTGCTGCATATTCTAGCTTTGGCCTAACAAAAGTCATGAACAATTTCTTTAGTATATCGCCATCCATGTATTTAAAAGCAATTCTGAAGTTAGAAAGCTTGGCATAGGCTCCTCGCACAATATTCTTTATGTGGTTCTCAGGTGATAGTTTTCTATCCAGAACCACCCCTAGATCTCTTTCTTTATCAGAATTCTTTAAAGATTTCTCACATAATATATAGGTTTTGTGGGGTCTATGTTCTCCTATTCCACATTCCATAACATGGCATATATTACCATTAAATTCCATTTGCCAAGTGGCGCTCCTTGTACTTATTTTGTCAAGGTCTTCTTGCAGGGCATGACAATCATCTAAGTTTCTTATCCTTCCTATTATCTTAGCATCATCAGCAAACATGCTCATATAATTCTGTATACCAACTGTTAGATCATTTATGTAGACAATAAACATCACTGGTGCAAGAACTGAACCCTGTGGTACTCCACTTGTGACATTTCTCCAGTCCGATACATTGCCTCTGATCACAGCCCTCATTTTTTTATCAGTCAGAAAATTTTTCATCCGTGTTAGAAGCGTACCTGTCACTCCTCCAATATTTTCCAGTTTCCAGAACAACCTCTTATGTGGAACTCTGTCGAAAGCCTTTTTTAGGTCCAGATAGATGCAGTCAACCCAACCATCTCTTTCCTGTAATATCTCTGTTGCTCGATTATAGAAACTGAGTAAATTCGATACACAGGATCTTCCAGATCGAAAACCATACTGTCTGTCTGGTATTATAACATTTCTCTCTAGGTGTTCTACCCATTTAGATTTAATTATTTTTTCCAATATTTTGACTATTACACTTGTCAATGATACCGGTCTATAATTAAGGGGGGTCTTCCCTGCTTCCACTTTTGTAGATTGGAACTATGTTAGCCTTTTTCCACACATCAGCTACAACTCCTGTAAACAGGGATGCCTGAAAAATCAGTTGAAGAGGAATGCTGAGCTCAGGTGCACATTCTCTCAGAACCCATGGTGAAACGCCATCTGGACCAACTGCTTTGTTCTTATTTAGCTCCTTGAGCATTTTTTCCACTTCGTCTCTAGACACCTCTATGTGCTCTATGTTGTTCTCAGGAATTCTTATTGTATCTGGTTCCCTAAAGATTTCATTTTGTACAAACACACTTTGGAACTTTTCGTTTAATGTTTCACACATTTCCTTTTCATTTTCCGTGAATCTATTTCCCATTTTCAACCTCTGAATATTATCCTTTACCTGCAATTTGTTGTTTATGAATTTATAGAATAGACCTGGTTCTGTTTTACATATGTCTGCAATCCCTTTTTCAAAATTTCTTTCTGCCTCTCTCCTCACTGCCGTGTAGTTGTTTCTCGCATCTTTGTATCACTGGTATGTTTGGGGGTTCGGCCTCTTCCTGTATTGATTCCATTTTTGTGTCTTTTGGTCTCTGGCCCTCTCACAATTTCTGTTGAACCAATCCTGTTTCCTAG